GGTGGAGGGGGAAGGGTAGTGGTAGGTGGGTACTGGTGGTAGGTACGACCCAGTTGGTCAATGGGAGGGATGAATCGGGTTGGTGGCTGGAAGGGAGGGTCAGAAGGTGGAATGGAAGGGAGGAGGTGGAGCTGGAAAGGGAGCTGGGGGATGGGTGGGAAGGTTATTTGAAATTGGAGAACTGGTGCCCAGGCGGAAGATAAAGTGTTCTTCCAACTTGTGTTGCGAGTCGCTGCGACACTGGAGGAGACCGAGGATGGACATGTCGGAGGGGGAGTGGACGGGGAGTGGGACGTGGAATTAAAATGGGCGGTGACCGGGATGTTAGGTTGACCGTTACAGGCCAGGTGGAGATGCTCAGCAAAATGGTCACCTAGTCTATGTTTAGTCGCACTGATGTAGAGAAGACCACATCGGGAGCATTGGATGCAATAGACTAGGTTGGAGGAGATGCAGGTGAAGCTCTGTCTCACTTGGAAGGGCTGTTTAGGGCCCTGGATGGAGGTGAGGGAGGTGGAGTGTGGGCAGGTGTTGCATGTTTTACAATTACAGGGGAAGGTACCGGGCGGGTTGGAGTGGTTGGTGGGGAGTGTAACGTGAACTAAGGAGTGGTGAAGGGAATGGTCCTTGCAGAAGGCAGAGAGGGGTGGGGAGTGGAAGATGTTCTGGGTGGTGGGGTCTAATTGGAGTTGGGATAAGTGTTTGAGGATGATACATTGGATGCAGAGGCTGGTGGGGTGGAAAGTGAAGACAAGGGGGACACTATCATCATTATGTCTTGCAGAGGTTGGTGGTTAAGAGCTGTGGAGCGGGGAATGGAGGAGGTGCGGTGGAGGGCTGTCTGGATGACAGAGGTGGGGAAAGAGCATTGTTTGAAAAAGGCAGATATCTGGGATGCTTGGGAGTGGAATGTCTCCTCATCAGAGCAGATGCGATGGAGATGGAGAAATTGGGAAAATGGGATGGAGTTTTTGCAGGATACAGGATGGGAGGAGGTGTAGTCTAGGTAGCTATGGGAATCTGTGGGTTTATAGTAAATGTCAGTCCATAAACTGTTGCCAGAAATGGAAACGAAGAGGTCAGAAAGGGGAGGGAGGTATCTGGGATAGACCAAGTGAATTTGAGGGAAGTTGTTAGCGAAATTGATGAACTGCTCCAGTTCAGCCTGGGAACAGGATGCAACACCAATGCAGTCATTGATGTAATGGTGGAAGAGTTGGGGAACAGTACCAGTGTACATACTGAAGAGGAACTGTTCAACATAACTGACAAACAGGCAGGCGTAGCTGGGGGCCATGCAAGTGTCCATGGCAACCCCCTGGATTTGGAGAAAGTGGGAAGAATTGAAGGAAAAGCTACCGAGGGTGAAGGCTATTTGGGTGAGGCAGAGGAGGGTATTGGTGGGGGAGGGGGACTGGATGGGTCTGGTGGAGAGAAAAAAACTGAGGGCCTGTAGGCCGTACTTGGGGGGTATGGACGTGTAAAGGGATTGAACGTACACAGGAAAGATGAAGTTTCCAACAAGATGGAGGGGATGGTTTGTGTCCCGGATGTAGGTGGGTAGTGTCTGGACCAAGGGGGAGAGGATGGAGTCGGGGTAGGAAGAGATGAGATTGGTGGAGCAGGAGAACGCAGAGGCGGTGAGTCAGTTGGGGTAGTTGGGCTTTTGGATCCTGGGGAGCAGGTAGAAGTGGGCAGTACAGGGCTGGGGGGGGCGGGAACTGTAAGGCTGGAGGTGATGGAGGGGAGGTCTGTCCTCCAGACGACCATGGTGAGGGTGAAGGGCAAGGTTGGCAGGAATAGGGAACCCTGGATAACAAGATATATTGAGACTTTGACCAGAAAAAAGAAGGAGGCATGGCTCAGGAACAGGCAGCTGGCATCAAGGGAATCCCTGGAGATAAATAGGGGATACAGGAGTTTACTGAAGAAAGAAGTCAGGAGGTCGAAAAGGGGTCATGAGATAGCTTTGACTGAGAAGATTAGGGTGAATCCAAATAGATCCTTTAAGTATATTAAAGGAGAAAGAATAACTAGACAGACAATAGGGCCCCTCGAAGACCAAAATGGACATGTATGTGGAACTGCAAGGGATGGGCGAGGTCCTCAATGAATATTTCTCCTCTGTGTTTACTGTGGAGAAGGTCATGAAGACTTGGGAACTTGGGGAAGTTAATGGTGATAGCTTGGGGACAGTCCATATCACAGTAGAGGAGGTGTTGGAAGTATTAGAATGTACAATGGTATATAAATCTCCTGGTCCTGACCAGATATATCCAAGAACCCTGCAAGAGGCTAGAGAAGAAATTGCTGGCGTCCTGGCTGATATATTTGCATCATCGTTAGCCGGGTGAGATCCTGGAAAACTGGAGGGTAGTGAATGTTGTGCCTTATTCAAGAAGGGCTGCAAAAAAAAACCTGGGAATTATAGAGCAGTAAGCCTAGCATCTGTGGTAGGTAAGTTACTTGAGAAGATTCTGAGGGATAAGATATACATGCATTTAGAAAGACAGGGTTTGATTAGGAGCTGTCAGCATGGCTTTGTGCGTGGGAGATCATGCTTCACAAATTTGTTAGAGCTCTTTGATGAAGTGATCAGGAAGGTTGATGAGGGCAGGGCGGTAGTTGTAGTCTATATGGATTTCAGTAAGACCTTTGATAAGGTTCCACATGGTTGGCTGCTCTGGAAGGTTAGATCACATGGAATCCAGGGAGACCTGACAAATTGGATACACAATTGGATGGATGGTAGGAAGCAGAGAGTAATAGTGGAAGGATGTTTGTTGAGCTGGAGGCCTGTGACTAGTGGCGTGCCTCAGGTGTATCTATATCAATGACTTGGATGAGAATGTACAAGCCATGATTAGTAAGTTTGTGAATGATACTAAAATAGGCAGTATCGTGGACAGTGAGGAAGGTTATCAGAAATTGGAGCAGGTCTTGATCAGCTGGGAAAGTGGGCCGAGAAATGGCAAATGGAGTTTAATATAGATAAATGTCAGGTGTTGCATTTTAGAAAGTCAAATCCAGGTAGGAGTTTTGTGATGAATGATAGGGCCTTAAGGAGTGTAATGGAGCAGAGGGATCTTAGAGTTCAGGTGCATAGTTCTCTGAAAGTGGAGTCACAGTTGGACAGGGCAGTGAAGAAGGCTTTTGGCACACTGGCCTTCATCAGTCAGGGCATTGAGTACAGAAGTTGGGAAGTTATATTGTAGTTGTACAGGATGTTGATGAGGCCACACTTGGAGTAACGTGTTCAGTTTTGGAAGGATGTTATTAAACCGGAAAGCGTGCAGAAGAAATTTACAAGGATGTTGCCAAGACTCAAGGGACTGAGTTATAGAGAGAGGTTGGACAAGCAAGGACCTTTTTCTTTAGAGCGTAGGAGACTGAGGGGGCACCTTATAGGTGTAAAAAGATCAGGAGAGGTATGGATAGGGCGAGTGCACGGAGTCTTTTTCCCAGGGCTGGGGAATCGAGGACCAGAGCGCATCAGTTTAAGGTAAAACGAGAAAGAATACATGGGAACCTGGGGAGCAACTTTTACACAGAGGGTGGTATGCATATGGAATGAGCTGCCAGTGGAAGTGGTTGAGGCAGGTACATTAACAATATTTAAAAGGCATTTGGACAAATGCATGGAGAGAAAAGGTTTAGAAGGATATGGGCCAAGTGCAGGGAAATGGGGTTAGCGTAGATGGACATTTTGGTTGGCATGGACCATATTGGGTCAAAGGGCCTGTCTCTGTGCTGTAGGACTCTATGGCTCTGAGGCACTGAGCTCTTCCACCAGATGAGGCATCACACCCATACCATCACACCCAACATTCATACATCACCACCAGGAGGCAATACTGGTTTACTGCTGGAAGCGGTGAGAAGCTGGAGTTGGTTATGGTCAGTATCTGGTTTTGACCCTTGCCTGTTGTTTAATTTCAGTCTGAAATTGTAAATGTTCCAGTCACACACTAACCGCTTAATTTCAGTTTGTTGTTGAGGTAATGTACTGAACTGATTGAGTGCGGGGTCTACACTGGGGATCCTGCCAACAGAAATATTAATTCCCAAAGTCTGGCAGCCCCGTGTTTTGAAATTTATCCAATGACCTCACTAGCCCCTTTCCACCAAACAAGGGCAGCCAGGATTCAGGGAGGTGGGGGGTGGAGTAGGGGGATTGGGGGAATGACCTGTCCACCCAGAGACTGGAGCCCTATCATCCACACTGAGGCAAGGAAACCTGCTGGCCTGGGATCTATATGTGACTCCAGTCCCACACAAACATGGCTGACCTGAGACCTACATGTGACACCAGTCCCACACAAACATGGCTGGCCTGGACCTACATGTGACACCAGTCCCACACAAACATGGCTGGCCTGGACCTATATGTGACTCCAGTCCCACATGAACATGGCTGTCTTCCAAACTAGTCACTCAGTCAGATCAAAGCTCTGGTTCAAGAAGGTACCATCTTCTTGGGAGCAATGGGACATGAGCGGTAAACACTGGCCCAGCCAGTAACACCCACATCCTGAGAATAACGTTAAGGGACACCCACCTTATCCCGTAATTCTTCCACAGCCCTTAGCTCTTTGCGGAGATTGTAAATAGTGTTGACCAGGTCTTGATGTTCCTCTAACGCCGTCCTTCGGTCATCTTCCAGGATCTGAATGTACATCTTGTTTTTATCAACTTTGTCAACCTTTACATCAAACAAATGCAGATTCATGAGTACCGCACCTCACTTCTGTAAACTTGCTACAATATGTAGGTTAAGTGAGTAAGTGGAATGAATGATATTGCAATTGATTACACAGAAGCACAATGAATTCTGTTTAAATGGAGTCTCCCAAATTAAGGGCACTTATTGCTAGATCCAAATAACTGACATGATATAATGTATAAGAAGCATTCCCATCTCACAATGTGCCAAGCCATTGTTACAACTAAGATAACAAGGTGTAGAGCTGGATGAACACAGCAGGCCAGGCAGCATCAGAGGAGCAGGAAAACTGACATTTCAGGTCTGGAGCCTTCTTCAGAAATGGGGGAGGGGGAAGGGTCCTGACCCGAAACGTCAGCTTTCCTGCTCCTCTGATGCTGCTTGGCCTGCTGTGTTCATCCAGCTCTACACTGTGTTATCTCAGACTCTAGCATCGGTAGTTCTTAATATCTTTTATTGTTACAACTAAACTTTATTAAATTCGTGGGGCTTGGCCTGTTGCATTTGTAATGTTCATTGAGTCGGGATCCTGGCCCATTCTCCGGATTTGTCGCCAGATTCTATTGAGGTTGGTGTTTGCTGGTTCACCATGAAGTCACAGGGCTTTGGACTGAGGAATGGTATTTGTGAATGGGCCATTCTTTATGTAATGTGCAGAGTGGAAGCAAGTGTTTTTGGGAGCAAGTGTTTACACATTCTCCTCTCATTCACTGAAATGTTTCACAGAATGAGCAATGAATATCTGGGAAACAAAGAAAGCAAGATCAGAGTCTGAACTTCTGGTACAGAACATAGAACAGCACAGTACAGGCCCTTCAGCCCACAATGTTGTGCCGAACTTTTACCCTAATCCTAAGGTCTATCTAATTGCCACCCCTACCTTATACTATCATCCATATAGTCAGCTACCTGCACATTTCACTGCAACAGCCCACATGCATATCCCCCAGGATAGGAGAGACTCTCTGAGACACTGTGTTCACTCCTATAACCTCACTGCCACCTTCCCACAGAACTACACAACTCGGGAAATTCAGCAAATTGTCCATTCACTTACTCGGTGTCTCTGCGTCCTACTCTGCTTGGGGTCAGTTTGTGAAGGGGAGAGTCCTGCCCTCATTAACGGGGGCACAGGGCACAGGGACAGGGATGTGGTGTCACACTGGTACAAAACACTCGTTAGACCCCAGCTGGAGTGTTGTGTAGAGTTCTGGGCGCTATACTAACAGAAAGGTGTGAATGCTTTCGAGACAGAGAGTGCAGAAGTGGTTAATAAGAATGGTTCCAGGAATGAGAAAATTTGGTGGTGAGGAGAGATTGAAGAGGAGGGGATTGTTCTCCCTGGAAGCTGAGGGGAGATTTGATAGAGATTTTCAAAATCATGGAAGTGGGGGAGGTGCTGGACAGAGTAGTTAGGGAGAAACTGTTCCCACTTGTAAAAAGAATGAAAACAAGAGGGGCATAGAATTAACGTAATGTACAAACTAAGCAAGGGGGATGTGCGGAGTTAGCAAGTAGTTAGGGTCTGGAATGCACAGCCTGGAAATATGGTGGAGGCAGGTTCAATCAAGGCATCGGAGAGAGAATTGGATGATGGTTTGGATTGAGGTAATGTGCAGGGCTTTGGGGAAAAGACAGCAGGTTGACACTGGGTAAATGGGGCTGTTTAATGAGCTAGAACAGGTATGATGTGCCGAATCACCTCCTTCAGCACCTTCACAATTCAGGGATCCTGGGACAGAGAGAGGGCGTGAGGTTTCTTCCCAGTGACTGTAGCTGTGAGCTGGATTTTGGTGAGACACCAGGATTGTGTTCCACAGTTTCTAGCACAGAATCAATGGGCTGAATAGCCTCCGTTAGTGGTAGAATGATCTGACCAATGGCTGGGCACATGTAAAAGAAACAACAACCTGCTTTTGTAAAGCATCTTTGTAGCAGCAACATGTTCCAAGGTACTTCAAAGGAACATTATCAAACAATGTGTCTTACCAGGTCACAGAGAGGGGTCAGTGTTTAAGATGGCTTGCATTCATGTCATTTGCTAGGCCAACATCCAACCCTCTGTGATTAAATGCAAGGTCAAAGATTAGAGCAGCATCTGAAAGGAGAGTGACATGGAGGAGGTTCAGAAGGGAATTCCTGAGCTCAGGAGCCAAGAATCTAAGAAAAACATGGCCACTGATGGTGAAGCAATGGGAATTGGTGGAGGGCTAAGGGGCCAAGATTGGAGGCTGGAGGAAATACAAAGAGGGAGGAACATGGATGGAATTAAAATCCAGGACAAGAGTTTTAAAATCAAGGTGTTGCTGGGCTAGGGGCCAGTGTCGAGTTAGCTCAGAGTGAGCTGGTGAAACAGGACTCAGTCAGGACCTGGGCAGAGGGCTTTAGGCTGATGTACATGGAGGGAGAGCGAGGGAGGAGGGCAGCCTGACCTGTGAAGGGAATAAATGAGGAGGGGAAGGAAGTCACTCTGGGTCCACTGATGGAGTGTTACTCCTGGCTGGGTCAGCTCCTCCAAAAATACCATCACAGAAACAGCCCCAGGCAATGGTTTACCTGCAGGGGATAGACCAGCTCCTGCAGCTTTGCTTTGAGTAGATCATTCTCACGCTGAAGTTCCCAGATCAGTTCTTGCTTCGGTCTCTGCTCCATGGCGAATTTCAGTTTCATGGTGTGTGTACGTTCAACCTTATACCCATCCTCAGCAAGCATCAGGCTGTGCTTCAGTCTCTCAATCTGCAGCAGTGTTAGGAGCACAGAGCATATTGTCAGTACATCAACAACAGGCAGGAGGACAAGTCTATCGCAAACAGCTCCGTACTGGGAAAGGCTCAACTCTATAGGGACTGTGTCCAATGGCAGCAAAAAAGAAAAGGTCCATTGGGATTGGGGACAGTGGGAGTGAATGGGAAGGGGTTTGGGTCCATTGGGATTGGGGACAGTGGGAGTGAATGGGAAGGGGTTTGGGTCCATTGGGATGGTGTAAGTGGGAGTGAATGGGAAGGGGTTTGGGTCCATTGGGATGGTGTAAGTGGGAGTGAATGGGAAGGGGTTTGGGTCCATTGGGATTGGGGACAGTGGGAGTGAA